GTAGAGTGCTATGGCATCACAGCTCACAGCAACCCCAAACTTTTTTTTTGGTTGGGGCTGGGTTTGAACCTGCCACCTGCAGCATATGGGGCTGGGGCCTTACTCCTTTGAGCCACAGCTGCCACCCCCCAACTCTTGAGCTTAAGTGATTCTCTTGCCTCAGCCTCTCAAGTAGCTGGGACTACAGGTGACCGCTGCAACACTGGCTATTTTTTTGTTGTTGTTGTCATTATTGTTAGCAAGCCTGGGTTGGGTTTGAACCTGCCAGTCCTCAGTACATGTGGCTAGTGCCCTAACCTCTGCGCTACGGCCACCGAGCAAATACTTGGCTACTTTTTTTATTCTTTTTTTTTTGAGACAGAGCCTCAAGCTGTCGCCCTGGGTAGAGTGCCATGGCATCATGGCTCACAGCAACCTCCAACTCCTGGGCTCAAGCTGTTCTGCTTCCACCTCCCAAGTAGCTGTTTATCTACAGGCGCCCACCACAACGCCCGGCTATTTTTTTGAACGCTTTTTTTTTGAGACAGAACCTCAAGCTGTCACCCTGAGTAGTGTTAACCTGGCATCACAGCAACCTCCAACTCCTGGGCTCAGGAGATTCTTCTGCCTCTGCCTCTCAAGTAGATGGGACTACAGGCACCTGCCATGATGCCCAGCTATTTTTGGTTGCAGCTGTCATTGTTGTTTGGCAGGCCTGGGCTGGATTTGAACCTGCCAGCTCAGGTGTATATGGCTGGCGCCTTAACTGCTTGAGTAGGATGACCAGACGTCCCGATTTTGGCGGGACAGCCCTGCTTTTCAACAATTTGTCCTGTGTCCCGCGGTGTTTTAAAAAAGTCCCGATTTTTGGAAAGAATGCACGAACAGGCTGGAGAACAAGAAGGGAATATACGGTTTTCGGCTGCCATATGGCTATTTTGCCAGAATATGAGTTTTATATTATTTTTGTTAATTTTATAATGTTAAACTGTAATAAATAATTGCTGAGAAGTGATTATTGAGAACTGCTTATCAAAGTTTGCATTGTTGTCAGGCCCTGCCCCGCCCCGTCCCCTGCCCCCACTCTGGCTCCGCCCCCGCTCCTCCCCCGCGCCATGTTGTCCCGCCTTACAGATGTTAAAATGTGTTCACCCTATGCTTGAGCCACAGGCGCCGCAGGCTATTTTTTTATTGCAGTTTGGCCAGGGCTGGATTTGAAGCTGCCAACCTCTGTATATGGGGCTGACACCCTACCCACTGAGCCATAGGCGCTGCCCCTGAGGTCTTAACTCTTGCTCAGGCTGGTCTTGAACTCGTTAGCTCAAGCAATCCACCTGCCTTGCCCTCCCAGAGTGTTAGGATTACAGGTGTGAGCCACCATACCTGGTCTTGTTTAAAATATATTACTTGTAAGGCTGGGCTCTGTAGCTGATCCTACCACTCTGGGAAGTGGAGGTGGGTAGATAGCCTGAGCTCAGATGTTGGAGCCCAGTCTGAGCAAGAGGAAGACCCCATCTCCAAAAATATAGCTGCGCATTGTGGTGGGTGCCTGTAGTCCTAGCTACCCAGAAGGCTGAGGCAAGAGGATCATTTGAGCCCAAGAGTTTGAGGTTGCCATGAGCTATGACATCACAGCACTCTACACCAGGCACAGGGTAGACTGTCTCAATAAATAAATAAATATGTTAATTGGGGTCTGTGCTCAGTGGCTCATGTCTGTAATCCTAGCACTCTGGGAGGCCAAGGTGAGAGGATTCCTTGAGTTCAGAAGTTCCAGACCAGCCTGAGCAAGAACAAGACTCTATTTCCACTCGAAATCTTTGCTGGGTATAGTGGTGGGTGCCTATCGTCCTAGCTACTCAGGAGGCTGAGGCTGGAGCATCCCTTTAGTCCAGGGTTTTGAGGTTGCAGTGAGCTGTGATGACATCACTGCATTCTATCCAAGGTGACAGCCTCTGTCTCCAAAAAAAAAAACAAAAAACCAAACCCAGAAAAACAGGCCATATTTGTGTGTGTGTATCCACACAGACACACACACACATATATATATTATTCTTAATGATTTTTTCACTTCAGTTGTATGGATTTTAATGTTTTCCCATGTCTGTGCCAAACATGTGAGTTCTAATGCCTGCATGTGCAGCAAAATGCACACTCATTTGCTACATACAGGTAAGAAACAAGATTCATAACAAATTTAAAGACTAGTTCGCTAAATACTGAGTCATCAGCAACAGTTCTGCTTGCTCTAAGTTGGGCATTCTCTAACTCAAGAAGAAGGTCCTACCTTAGCCAGATCTTCCATCTGCAATCACTCTTTCAAATACAAGTTAGAAATTATCAAATTAGGTGAGCGTGACTTTTTTTTTCATTTTCTTATTAACTAGTACCATAGTAAACATGACCTTTAAAAAAAGATAATGTTAAAAGGCCAGGCGTGGTGCCTGTCCGCCTTAATCCCAGCACTTTGGGAGGCTAAGCTGGGAGGATCCGTGGAGCTCAACAGTTTGAGGTTGCCTTGAGCTATGATGACGCCACTGCTGCTTAGCCTGGGCAGCAGAATGAGACCAAACAGACAAGAACAAAAACCTTACACAACAAATAAAAGAGATAAATTTTTAAAATGCCATAATATAATTTGCATTTAAATAACATATACAAAGACTCGTGAAACTAGAAAATGGTTTAGCAGAATTATCAAGTGATAAGAGTTGGCCTTTTTTTTTTTTAAATTGTTTTATTAAGAATGACTTTATGAGGACTTGTAAGTAGAGTTTTTTCTTGCTCTGTGCTAAGGTCTCATGACAAATTTTATCCATTTCACCCTTTTCCAGAGAGCAGTCTTACATGGAAAGTGTTGTGACTTTTCTACAGGACGTTGTGCCACAGGTAAGTGTCTGTGTGTAATTTCAGAGATAGTAGGTATTGCCTTTGGCCAGGGAACCTCTGAAATGTTCTGTTTTCTAAACTTGACACTAGTATCAGCAGCTTCAGAAAGGATTCTGATGTTTTAGCCTCCTGAGCATGGGAACCACAGTTTTTACTGTGTACATGGACCTCAGTGTTGTGATGACGAGGGCATAACTAGTATTCCTTAGGACTTGCTCTCCCGAGGGGAATCAAGGTGAAATATTAGTAGAGAGTTGAGATTTGGGACGCTCTAGCTGGGTTCTAGTTCTAAAATCTTTCTCTTGTCCTACTTAATTGTTGCCTGTCTGAAGTGAGAAATGCAACGTACACTCTGTACTTAATTAACTAGATATGAACTCATATCTAGCACAAATCCACATCTCTTTTATGTTGAGCAGCATTTTTAAGTTGATACTCTAAGTTAAAATAAATTAAGCCCCTTATACGTCCCTTTATGTAAATGTGAGACTAGCCTTACTAGGATCGTATTCTTGCCCATAATTAAACTAAGTATCACTGGCATACTTGTTAAAAGTGGTAATAATTTCCTGTCTCAGAGAGTAGCATCTGGCACACTGGATTTGAGGCTGTCTAGTAACTTTTGTCTATAGTAAGAATCTCAGTTGCTGGCCCAGGGTAAAGAAAAAAAAAAGGAGTCTCAGGTAATTCTTAAACAGGAGCTTTGGGAAGCACTGTTCTAGTCAAACTACTAAAGGAAAAGGTTTCCGTGTTTCCTCCTTGTGGCTGTGTCGCTCTTCCCTGACTACCATGGTGTCTGTAACTGTACTGTTCAAAAAGGACATTCACAGAACCAGTCTCAGTTTGATGTGAGGGTCCTAGGAACAAAATGCCATGTTAACCATAGTGGAAGGTAAATTAAATCCAGTTGGGGAACATCAAAGAAGGTTAATGAATGACATGCCGTTTGAATTGAGGCATAGAGCAGAATAAAACCCAACTTTGATAAGTTGAGTAGATATGTGATGGGGACCAGGCAGTCACAGTAGGTGTTTGTTTTATTTGGCAGAAAAATTATAACTTAATATTTTGCACATTGGGCTTAGCGCAGCTTAGTGATTGAGAGCACAGACTTTGATATTAGATTTGGCTTTCTATTTCAGGTCTACATCTTCTAGCTCTGGACAAGTTACTGAACCTTTCTAAACATCTGTGCTTTTGTGTGTAAAATGGGATAAATCATTGTATTCATTATAGGTTTGTTTTGAGGCTTAAAGGATATCATTTATATAAAGCATAAAATAAAGCAAAGCAGGTATTAAGTAGTCTTTGTTGAAGGGAGCCTAAGGAGACTAGAGATCCAGGGCAGAGATGTAGATTTATGATGTACAGTCAATAGTCTAAATGATCATATGAGCCAAAGATGTCATAAATTCTAAGTGACAAAGTCACTCAGGGTTAGAGTGCAGTGGTGTCATCATAGCTCACTGCAACTTTAGACTCCTGTGCTCAAGCAATCCTTTTGCCTCAGTCTCCCCAGTAGAGCTTGGCATAGTATACCTGTGACTATAGGTGCATACCACCATGCCCAGCTAATTTTCCTATTTTTTGGTAGAGATGGGATCTTGCTCAGGCTGATCCCAAGTGATCCCCCCAAAGTGTTAGGATTATAGGCTTCAGCTGCTGTACCTGCCAAACAAACTTTCTAACATTTTTTTCCTTCTTTTTTTTTTTTTTTTTTTAAGACAGAGTCTCACTTTGTCACCTTTTGTAGAATGCATGGTGTCACACCTCATAGCAACCTCAAACTCTTGGGCTTAAGTGATTCTCTTGCCTTAGCCTCCCAAGTAGCTGGGACTACAGGCACCTGCCACAACACATGCCTATTTTAGAGACAAGGTTTCACTCTGTCTCTGTCTCTGGCTCAGGCTGGTCTCGAACTCATGAGCTCAGGCAATCCACCTGCTTCGAGAGTGCTAGGATTACAGGCGTGAGCCACCGTGCTAGGCTATTTTTTCCATATTTAATTCAAAATCCCACAGCAGTATTTCGTTGTTGGATGCTGGAAAATGATATTTCCTGCTCATGTTATATTCTACTTCCTGCTTTATAGTGGGGATCATAAAATTCATGGAGCCTAGAAATTATTCTGTGAGTCTGCAGATATACTCCTAAAGAGAGAAAATGTTTTGTTAGGTTGGGTAGCAGCTTCGTTAGTTATTACACACTGAATTAATTTTAGTTGTGATTGCATTGATGGCTAGTGGTAGTGTGCTCTAATAATTCCACTTATAAAAACTTATTTTAAAAAGATCATTTAACAAGGAAAAAAAGTTAAAGCTCAGAGCTCTTTATTTCAGTGTATGAAATTCTCACATTTTCAGCATAAAAAATTGTAGACAGGTCAAATGTCAATTATTAAGCAAATGATGATTTATCATAATTACTATAGAATAATTTTCAGTAATTAAAAATTGTGCTTTTGACTCAGTGCCTGCAGCACAGTGGTTATGGCACCAGCCACATACACTGAGGCTAGCAGGTTCAAAATGGCTTGGGCCAGCTAAACAACAATGACAACTGCAACAAAAAATAGCCGGGCATTGTAGTGGGCGCCTGTAGTCCCAACTACTTGGCAGGCTGAGGCAAGAGAATTATTTAAGCCCAAGAGTTTGAGGTTGCTGTGAGCTGTGATGCCATGACACTCCACCCAAGGTGACATAGTGAGACTCTGTCTCAAAAAAAAAAAAAAATTACGCTTTTGATAATAGTACAACGTATAAGTTATTCTCTCTACAATGAAAAAAGTTAATGAATAGAATGACACAGTGATTATAGCTATGTTTTATAAAATTAAAAAATAAATTTGTGCTTACGTGTGTATGTATGTGTGTTGGAAACCAGGCTAGGTCTGTGTCTCGTGCTTGTAAGCTCAGTTACTTTGGGAGGCTGAAGCAGGAGGATCACTTCAGCCCAGGAAGGTTACAGTAAGCTGTGATCTCCCATTGCACCACTGCCCTCCAGCCTGGCTGACAGAGGGAGACCCTGTCTTTAAGAACTAAAACAAAAGGCTCGGCGCCTATAGCTCAACCGGGTAAGGCGCCAGCCATGTACACCTAAGGTGGCGGGTTCGAATCCCTAGCCCGGACCTGCCAAACAACAATGACGGCTGCAACCAAAAAATAGCCAGGCGTTGTGGCGGGCGCCTGTGGTCCCAGCTACTTGGGAGGCGGAGGCAGGAGACTCGCTTGAGCCCAGGAGTTGGAGGTTGCTGTGAGCTGTGATGCCACAGCACTCTACCCAGGGGGACAGCTTGAGGCTCTGTCTCAAAACAAACAAACAAACAAAAAAAGAACTAAAACAAAACAACTCCCAGATCCAGATAAGGTATAAAAGGAGAAGGAATTAAATCTTAATCAGTTAGGGATGAATGTTTAGACTTTAAATAAAAGAACAAAAGCAGTTGCTGAATTCTGTAAAGACATCAAATGAAAGGTGAGGATGAGCACTGATTGAGTCTGTGTCTCACAGAGAAGCAAGGATCTAAACATGGGTAAAGGAGATCATAAGAAGCTGAGAGGCGAAATGATATGGCCTGCCTTCTCTGTGCAGCCCTGCATGAAGGCACACAACAGCTGCACAGCTGCTTTAGTCAGCTTCACAGAATTTTCTCAAAAACAGCTTAATATAAAAGAACTCCATGTCTAAGGAAAGAGGAAAACTTGAGTCATAGTGAAAGCATATAAGCCTCTTTACACAAGACTTCTTTCCCCCTTATAAGGAAAGCAAAAAGAGGTTCAAGAATCGGGCCAGGTGTGGTGGCTCATGCCTGTAATCCTAGCTCTCTGGGAAGCTGAGGCAGGAGGATCACTTGAGACACCAGTCTGAGTAACAATAGCAAGACCCCATCTCTACTAAAAATAGAAAAATTAGGTGGGCATTGTGGTTAGTGCTGGTAGTCCTTGCTACTTTGGAGGCTGAGGCAGGAGAATTCCTTGAACCCAGGAGTCTGAAGTTTCTGTGAGCTAGCTAGAGGCCATGGCATTCTAGCCTAGGCAATAGAGTGAGACTCTTTCTCAAACAAAACAAAACAAAACAAAACAAAGCAAAAAAAGAGGTTCAAGAATAGCATTACACTGAAAGGCCTCTTTCGGCCTTGTATTCTGGGTATCCCTGAGAAGTCAGATGAGAGCATTTTGAAGATGTTGCAGCAGAACAGGGAGAATGTTGAATAACATTGCAAGACCAAGTGGTCTTAGAGTAAGTCTGCGAAGCTGAAGAAAAATTTGAAAATGTCACTGTTTTATCAGGATAAAGGAAAGACTAACATAGGGAAAAAGTGTCTTAAATGCAACTTAGATCCAATCCTAGAGCAGAGATAGGACATTAGTGGAAAAAATTGTAAAAATCTATGTAAAGCCTGGCGTTTAGTTAATAGTAATACACAACGTTTTGTAATTTTGACAGATGTACCATAAATAACGTAAGATTTATTTAGATTATATAATTAACATTAGAGGAAACTGGGTGAAGGAGTATAATGAGTACTTTCTGAATATATATATTTTTTGTTTGTTTTGTTTTGTTTATGGGGCAGAGTCTCACTCACTTGCCCTAGGCAGAGTACCTTGGCGTCATAGCTCACAGCAACCTCAAACTGTTGGGCTCAAGTGATCCTCTTGTATCAGCCTCCCGAGTAGCTGGGGCTGTAGGCGACTGCCACAACACCTGGCTAGTTTTTTCTATTTTTAGTAGAGACCCAGTCTGGCTTTGCTACTGAACTCCGAGGAGCTCAGGCAATCCACCCACCTTGGCTTCCCAGAGTGCTAGGATTACAGGCCTGAGCCACCATGCCTTTTGCCTCAGCCTCCCGAGTAGCTGGGACTATAGGTGCCTGCCACAATACCTGGATATTTTTAGAGATGAGGGCTTGTTCTTGCTTAGGCTTGTCTTGACTTGTGAGTCCAAGTGATCCTCCTGCCTGGGTCTCCCAGAGTGCTAGAATGACAAGTATGAGCCACCAGACCAGGCCTGACACAGTTTGTATTAAATAAATTGTTCTGCAAACTGAATTCAAGTTTATAATTACAAAAGACTTGCAGCTGTTTTGTTAATAATCTAAATTCTTTTAAGTATATATAATCTTTTAAAAATTTTATTTGTTTGTTTGCTTGTGTGCCAGCCCAGGTAGTTTTCCTATTTTTAGTAGAGACAGGCTCTCTCAGTCTTGTTCAGACTGATATCAAACTCCTGAGCTCCAACAATCTGCCTCTCAGAGTGCTAGGATAACAAGGTGTGAGCCACTGCAGCTTGCTTCTTTTAAAAATTTTAAATAAAACATGCTTTATGGAGAGATGCCTCCTTTAAAATACTGTTGACAGTTACTGGACATTAATGCTTATCTTTGTGACCCTTTCAGACTTCTAGGAATTAGCTGATAGGTTTGGCTAGAAGACAGATAAGAAAATGAGAAAGTGCAGTCACACTCTTGAAAAATGTAGGTAGAGTGTAAATTGGCTGCTGTCAAACATCTTGGAACTTCGTAGATAAGGGTAGTGGTTTTGTTTATTTTTTAAGCCTTCTTAATTTGTTGACCAGTGGTTTGGTTTAGTGTTTTGTGTGCCTTTGAATTATAGTGATGCTTCATAATAGACTGATGGTTGTAATTTTAGGTTTATGTAATTTTTTTTAATGTACTTTTTTTAATAGGTTAAAAATTGTTTTTTGACTATGGTTATCACACTCCTAGATAATTTGACAGTAGTTTTGTATCAAAATGTGTTACTTTACCAAAGTATAGGGTTGGTGAAGTTGGAGAGATCTAGTGTTGGTGCTGTTTTAGACACTCTTTGTTTTGAAACATCAGTAGTGTTAGAGCTATAAAATATTTTTATTCAAACATTTCTGTTTATTATGCAGGCTTACAGTGGAACACCTCTAACAGAAGAAAAGGAGAAAATTGTCTGGGTCAGATTTGAAAATGCAGATTTAAATGGTATGGTTTTAACTTTTGTGGAACATGTGAATTAAATGTTTATTTTGAGTTGACATGATTCTAATTTAGACCTGATTCTAAAAAGAGAACGTTTACTTTAGTCAGATTATTCACTCTTATAGTAATTTTGTAGTTTTCAAAACAGTGTTATTTATTTATTTTTTGAGACAGAGTCTTACTTTATTCCACTCAGTAGAGTGCTGTGGCATCACAGCTCACAGCAACCTCAAACTCTTGGGCTGAAGTGATTCTCTTGCCTCAGCCTTCCAAATAGCTGAGACAGCTGGTGCCTGCCATAACACCCAGCTATTTTTTAGAGATGAGGTCTCTCGCTCTGGCTCAGGCTGTTCTTGAACTCATGAGCTTAGGCAGTCCACCCACCTCGGCCTCCCAGAGTGCTGGGATTACAGGCGTGAGCAGCTACCATGCCTGGCCAAAGCAAATTTCTTTTTCTTTCTTTCTTTTTTTTTTTTTTTTGTGGCCTTTGGTAGAGTGCTGTGGCATCACACTGCTCACAGCAACCTCCAACTCCTGGGCTTTATGGCCCTTGGTAGAGTGCTGTGGCATCACACTCCTCACAACAACCTCCAACTCCTGGGCTTAGGCGATTCTCTTGCCTCAGCCTCCCAAGTAGCTGGGGTTGCAAGTGCCCTCCGCAACACCTAGCTATTTTTGTTGCAGTTTCACTGGGGCTGGGTTTGAACCTGCCACCCTTGGTATATGGGGCCAGTGCCCTACCCACTGAGCCACAGGCACCACCCTTTCTTCTTCTTTTTTTTTTTTTAGAGACAGAGTCTCATTTTGTCACCCTTGGTAGAATGCTATGGTGTCACAGCTCACAGCAACCTACAGCTCTTGGGCTCAGGTGATTCTCTTGCCTCAGCCTCCCAAGTAGCCGGGATTGCAGGCACCCGCCGCAACACCCGGCTATTTTTGTTGCAGTTTGGCTGCGGCTGTGTTTGAACCTGCCATCCTTGGTATACGGGGCTGGCACCCTACTCATTGAGCTACAGGCACCACCCATAGCAAATTTATTTTTAATTAAAAAGGTAACATGTAGAGACCACACTATAGAGATGTTCTTTAGAGCTAAATATTATATTGTACAACACATTTTATAGTAACCATAACACAATGTGTAACCTTAAAGTGGGTTAAAATTTTCTTAGAAAAGAAGTTATTAATTCACGTTTCATAATTATTAGTATTGAACTTTCTAGGCTTGAGAGTTATTGTTTTCTGAATGGAATTTATGCTAGTGCATGGTCTGTTTGTTCTTAGATACATTTTTCTATTTTTTTTTTTGGAGACAGTCTCTCACTCTGTTTTCCAAGCTGAAGTGTCCTGGTCTCAGCCTAGCTCACAGCATCCTCAAACTCCTAGGTTCAAGTGATCCTTATGCCTCAGCCTTGCTCGTAGCTCTCTAGGCACCTGCCACAATGCCCAGCTAAGTTTTTCTATTTTTAGTAGACACTAAAGAGTCTTGCTCTTGCTCAGGCTGGTCTTGAGCTCAAGACTGAGGTCTCACCTCGGGCTCCTAATGTGCTTAGATTACAGGAGTGAGCCATCGCACCAAGTCTGTTTTCAGATAAATTTTATTTCTCTTTTTTTGCTCTCTCTCACAGGCACTGACTGCCCCTTGTTTGTTTGTTTCCCAGGCTGTCACCTCTGTTGTCTTTGTAACTGAGTTTGGGAGTCACTGATGAGAAACTGAAGGGGGGATGGGAGAAAGGGAAGCATATTATTCCCTCCTTCTTTCTGTCAGCGGCTGCATTGTCTTCATGGTTCTAGCTTCCCCTTAGTAACCTCAGTGGCATTCCATGTTCTGCTAGGTGACCTCCACCCTGTACTCTTCTGTGTCCCTAGCTTAGGGGTGGCAATGCCTTCCTGTTGTTGCTAATGGATAGGTTGCCTCACAGTTCCTTATTTGGCATCTCAGCCCTTCTATGCAGCCAGTTGTCTTTACCAAATTCCCTATTTTAAACATACTGAGTTGCTTTCATATTCTAGTTGGGCATTGACTAATATGCTCTTGAGTTTACATTGAATGTGTGTTTGTTTCCAATTCTTTTTTTTTTTTTTTTTTTTTTGAGACAGAGTCTCACTTTGTTGCCCTTGGTAGAGTGCTGTTTCATCACAACTCACAGCTTTTGAGACAGAGTCTCACTTTGTTGCCCTTGGTAGAGTGCTGTTTCATCACAACTCACAGCAACCTCAAACTCTTGGACTCAAGTGATTCTTTTGCCTCAGTCTCCCAGGTAGCTGGGACTAGAGGTACCCACCATAATGCCCGGCTGTTTTTAGAGATGGGGTCTCACTCAGGTTGGTCTTGAACTCCTGAGCTCAAGCAATCTGTCCATCTCAGCTTCCCAAAGTGCTAGCATTACAGGTGTGAGCCACCTCACCTGGCTAAATTCACTATGTTAACCATTCCTAAGTATGTAGTTCTGTGGTTATAAGAACTATCCTTGTTGTGTAGCCATTGCCCTCATTCATCTTCAGAATTATTTTCATCTCATAAAACAAACTGTACTCATTACACAATAATTCCACACTTTTCCCTCTCTCCTGCCTCTGGCAATCGCTGTCCTACATTTGGTCTTTATGATTTTGTGAACACTAAATCAACCTGATGTAAATGGAATCCTATAGTATTTGCCTTTTTTGTGACTGACGTATTTCACCTATCATAATGTCCTCAAGGTTCATCTGTGTTTTAGCAAATGTCAGAATTTCCTTTCTATTTACGATTGAGTAATATCTCATTGTACGTACATTAGTCAGTCTTTATCCATTCATTATCAGTGGACTTTTGGGTTGCTTCCACATTTTTGACATTGTGAATGCTACTATGAACATGGGTATACTTCTCTTAGAGACTCTGATTTCAGTTCTTTTTGTGGGGGAGGGGGACAGGGTCTCTCACTCTTTTGCTGGGCTAGAGTGCAGTGGCATCATCGTAGCTCACAACAACCTCAAACTCCTGAGCTCAAAGTGATCTTCCTGCCTCCGCTTCCCCAGTGACTAGTGCTACAGGTGTGCTCTACTGCTCCTGGCTAATTTTTCTA